CGTTTTCGAGGCGCTTGTTAAAATATTTTTGAGCAGCTTCCTGAAATGTAAATGTTGGTGAGGAAATCTGGTAGTCACAGTTTTACGCCACGCTGTGCACACACTTCCATAAAACGGGCGGCTGCGAGTACGGCTTCGGGCAGGTCGCTCGCCTCGAAGAATTGGCTCAACCACGCACGAGACTTCAGCCGGGTCTCGAGATTCTGGAGCACGGTTTTTTGGGGTCGAGCTGGGGTAAAACCTGTGGAATTGGAGCGGCTTCAACGAGACACAAAAAGCTGATGGTCAACGCCAGAAGCCTAAAAATTCGATATCTGCTAAACTCAAAATTACGGCGCTAACAAAAAACTTGAATAACGACCCAAAAATACGCACCAGCCAAATCGCGGCATCGAGTAGAAATTGGAAAGAGAAAAACGAAATTCATCACCGGAAATGAGGGAATATTCAAACGACGGATTTTAAAACAGTTTTTACGTGGTTTGTAGGGAAATCTTAGCTGTCACGCTGTTATCCAACAATTTTTTAAAACTTTATTAGTACAACATTTTCTTCCGCCTTTCCGCATCTTCTTTCTTCCGTTTCCACACCAACCACCGATGCTCCAGAGACATATAGGTAGTTTCGATAAACAGGAACACGAATTCACAGCATGTCAAGAACGAAATGCCACACCATAGACCCAATTGACCGCCGAAATCGGCCAGCAAATTCACAAACTAAAAATATGCCTGGGTAGTTTACATTAAAAACCTGGTAAGCCTCAGTTTCTTCCAGAAATTCATAGTTCAGCTGTTCATAGAAGACCTCAACCATGGCACCGTTTTCTCTGCAAGTTTTCAATCATTTTAGATAGCTCTAAATTTTTGTAAATTTTCTAGAAACCTGTGCTAGTGCATTTTCTAAAGCTTTAGTTACTTACTTGTAATGCTTATTACACTCAAGCGCTGTACCATTACAAGATCCAAGTTGAATTTGGAGAGATTGTGAGGGCCATTTGGCTGGTGAGTACGTCACCTACAAGCATCGTTTAGCTCTCGCTCTCTCTCTCTCTCTCTCTCTCCCGCTCTCGCTCGCTCTCTCTCTCTCTCCCTCACTCTCTCGCTGTAGTTCTCTCTTTCTCGCCCTCTCGATAAAGTTCGTGCTCTATCTGACAATCGACCTACCGTATACAAACTCTGGGCACATGGCTGCTGACAACGACACTTGAAAGAACCATGCAGATCGCTAAGCGCGCCCATTTTGTCGTCCAAACATTGTCCTAAACGGAATAATTTTCGATATTCCAAAGTAATTTTAATCTCATTCTAGCCAAACGCGGATGGCCGTGGTTACTTTGCACCGGATTCAAAGCTTCGCAATGCTTTCCATCCTCCAAAACCGGAAATCGTGGATCACCGCAGTCGCATTCTTGAAGCACGAGTTTTTGGAAGCACGTGCGGTAGCAGCCCTGGAAATCTTTTTTTGAAATGTAGTTCGTAGTTTACCTCAACAGAATAAGTATGATTTTGATAGATATAAGACGATGTTTTGCCATCCGGAATGCAATCACCGTAAGGTGCTGGTAGACGAGACATTTTTCTCTGCGGGGAAAAGTATCGTTTTTCAAGCACTGTAAGTACCATTCTTAACCCAAATGAAGAAACGTATCCGGTAGGTGCCGAGTAGCCAAAGGTATCCGGAAATGGAAAATCTTCTTTATCGTGAATCGTCAATCGAACCCCTGAACTTCAGGTAAAATGGAGCGTCTATTCGGTTACCAGTAGCTTCCGTCGTTGGCATATAATCTGATGCATTAACATATACCAACATTCTCAATCCGTACATAGGGCCGGCCCGGATCGACGACTTGGTTATGTTGTGGTCGTGATTGAATATGAAGCAATTTCCTAAATGTTAACGGATTTTAAAAGAAGTTTGAGTTAACCTTACCAAAATTCGGATCAACGATGGTGAGGAAATCACTGAAAACACCTTTTGTTGTAGGTACAAAACACTTACTTGTCAATATCACAAGCTTCACCGTTAAACGAGCATTTTTGGATTAGCTCCCGTTTTTGCGTAGACAATTTCTCTCGTTCATCCATGGGTAAGGCAGACATGACAAACATGATGTTTTCCTTAGCTTTTGTAACAATCGCTACCTCGTCTTTCATGCCCTAAATTTATTATTATTAATAATACTTGCTGAATTAGCCTTATACCATCGAGACCAAAAAAAGCCGATTGTCCTTACCTCAAAACCCATGGCCTTAACAAAATTGGGGTCTTCGGTTGGTGGTGCTCCGGCTAGGTATTGCCAAATGTGGAGCAGGGGTGCTGTCTAAAAAAAAATATGAAGGACGCTAAGGGGTTTTTATAATAAATAAACATACCCTATCGTACGCTACGCACTGGCCCAACGGGTTACATTTACAGGGGATCCGCTTTCGCACTTTCGCAGCTAAACTTTATCGGTAAATTCAATATGTCAACGCTCACTGGAATTCAGCTGGCAAATCGCGTCCGCCGTGCAACTGGCACACTGCTGATCATTCCAATCCGGGATTTTGAAGCAAGGCCACGCGTCCTAAAATTTTGATCAATTTTGAATCCATTAAAGTGGTAGATACCTCGGTATTCCGATCAAAAGCGCATAGGCACTTATCGTCCTCACCCTCTGGTTCCTCGTATTTACGCCTTAATTAAAATATAGAAATTCATAATGTTTTTACTCTTTGCATTCATGCACTTTCTTCCCGGGCGGCATCGTAATCCCGGCTTCCGGGTCGTTATAATCATCGTAAAGTCCTTGCTGCTCTTCCTCATCCTCTTCAGACTCTTTTTCACAAGCACATTTTGACAAGCCCTATAGAAATTTGGATACTTCCCATTACCCAATCCCAAATGTAATCACCAAAGCCACCTACCACTTCGAACAAATGTAAATTATCCCGCTGCATCCGGAATTTATCCAGTGTTTTCCACTTCTTTTTAAGGTCTTCATACTGAAGGGCTCTTTTGGGGCGGATGGTACCTTAAAGCCTACAATTGTAACACCGCGTCTCATTCTAGAAGCCGCTTCCTCGGCTTCATCAGTAGCTTTTTGTCTTTTCTCCTCGTCTTCTTGGGCGGCTGTACTCATTGCACCGTCGAAGGCATTTAACTGGAGAAAATGAAGTTGGAGAAGAGAGAAAGAATGCGAGAGAGCGAGAGAGAGAGAGAGAGAGAGAGAGAGAGAGAGAGAAAGAGAGTCATCGATATCGTATCAAAAACCTACGGTTCGTTGAATCAACGCTACACTCCTCGCCAAGTGTTGCTTATAGGGGTTCAAATTGCAAATAGTGATTGCCGGAAATGGCGCCGTATCGAATTTGAGCTGTATATCAACAATCTTCTCATTTTTATGATATTTGTCGAGGACGGAGCGAGCATTCAAATAGAGCATCACCATACAAGTAGCGAATAGACACACCCAGACGCCTCTAAAATCCCTTGCATAGCTCCGAAAAAGACAATTTTGCTGCGATCATCCCGGTCAAAACGAGTGTGTGCTTCAAACCTATAATAAATATTAGGCGCCTGCCCAATCATCGGGATCCCATGAGCCGATGTCTTATAACAGAACTCGCGAAAATGCCATTTCATCCGCTTGTCATAGGGTAATTGCTTTGGGTCGAACTCGCCTTGGATGATTTCGCACTAAAAACCAATGGAGGTGATTATTTTGATTTTAGTTCGGTACCTGAACGCCTGAGTCTTGACTGTTGAAGCATTCCCCATACCCCACATCTCCGTAATATTCACGTTCCGTCACGAATTTCTGCTCGTCGAACTTCATGTAGGCCTGCGGGTCGCCGTAGACCTTGAAATAAGGCGGTTATGATCTTAAAAAAAGGCTCAAATAGATATGAGAAATAGGGTAATTCCAATGTTCTTACTCGTTTCATATACTCGGCCGACTCATTGAGGCGCTCCCAATTTTTGAGGTTGTTCACCCACGACATCGCGTTGCTTTCTGTAGATAAGTTTTAGGCCGTCAGGATGATGAGGAAATCAATTTAAGGCTTTAAAATAAACAAAAAGACATAAAACGTATTTATACATAAATCGAACAAACACAAAACGGACTTAAAAATAAGCATGACCGATTGACTATGATTTCAGAGTGGTTATTACGCGATTTCGGAGAGTAAGGAATGAATACATGGCTAATATCGATCATCCATTATTGCATAAAGTCGAACGGTTAAATAACACTAATAAAAGTAAATTCTTGCCGTTTCGTTGCTATTGGCTGAAAAGAAGAGCACATTTTAGTATGACCATAGCTCTGTGGACACGCCGCCCCTAGGATGGCCTTCGCCATGCATTTCTAATCACCGCACCCCCTCATGCAGCTTTTTGTCGCGCTCCCCGACCACGCGAAAAACTGTCAGTTATTCCGTGTATTCCGTTTTAAGAGCAATTCAATATCCCCATAGCATCATAGTACTCGCGATCGGTGACGAATCTTTGATCTTCGAACTCATGTAGCCTTTTGGGGGCCATACCTAACCCAAAAAAGTAGAAGAAGTACCTAAAGAAGTAAAAGTACGTTAAAATTTTTGACTTCTATCGTTCTTTATGAAAAAGCTTTAATGAATAACCTTTTCATATAAACGGCAGCTTAGGCTTAGGCTTAGACTTAGCCCTAGGCTTTGCGCACGCAATTCACGCAATTACCCGGAAATAACCGCACTCTGACCCAGTGATAACCAATGGCGGCAGCTGTGTTCTCCCCTACGCATTTATAAACGCCATGAACTTTTAACGCCCACGTGCCTCTCATTTTCTTGCAACAGTACGTTTTTTCATTAATGTGTCTAGCGCTCGGGAGATGGGTAAAATATATATTTATTACCAGCATATATAGGCTTGCTGGAAGGGTGAAATCACAGAAGGGTACTTTAAAAATGTCAAGGTTTGAGCGATTTTTTCTAGCATTAATTTTAGCTGAGGCGTCAGTGCCTGGGGGCTTATTGGTCGTGCTTTTGGATGTATTCGAGGACCTGAAAAAATATAAATAACTGAGGATTCCTGACGGTATTCAGTAAAATTCGGAAGGTAAATTTACCTCCTCGACGTCTTCTTTTGATCCGAGAATAATCGGGGCTCGTTGATGGATTTTGGTGGGAACGATGTCGAGAATGCGTTCCTAAAAATGAACCATAAGAGGAAAAGAGAGAAAGAGAGAGAGAGCGAGAGCGAGAGAGAGAGAGAGAAAGACAGTTTGTGGCTGCGAGAGAGAGAGAAAGCGTGCGAGAGTGAGAGAGGGAGAGGGAGCTAAAAGTTTTACCTTCCCAGTCGTCGCCAATCCTCCGGCTTTTTCTAGAATGTAGGCCATCGGGTTGCACTCGTAGAGGAGGCGGAGCTAAAAAACCTGCTTTTAAGGGCTATAAAGCAAGGTGTATTTTATTGGATTTCGATCGATGTTACACCTACACCTCGAGAATACTTACCTTTCCATTGGGGGCAGAAGCCGTTGGAGGGTAGAGGAAAATTCCACCATGCAACAAAGTACGATGAACGTCGGCGACCATCGATCCGACGTATCGCTGGCCCATACCCTGAATAACAACACGTGATGAACTTTACGTGTGGTAAATTGTGGTCGTTTAAAATTATCTTACGTACCTTCTTGCCCTGTGGCGGGAATTTGCGATCGTGGATATACTGCGCGATTCCCTTGCTCCACGTAGCTGCATAACCCTCGTTCAGCGAGTATGTGCTGCCCTTCGGCTTGCACTGCATGCTGCGGTGGGTGAGGATGAACTCGCCGATCGACTGAAAGAAATAGACGTATCGCGCCTTGCTACTCTAAAACCCTTCCAGGAGCAAAAACTTACCGGATCCAGCGTAAATCCATTGACGCCATCACCAAGCGACAGTACCACCATCGTGGCCGAGCCGTACAGCGCGTAGCCGGCTGCTACCATCTCCTTTCCGGGCCGGAGGACATCGGCCTCGGTAGGTTCTCCCTCTTCGCTTTGCTAGAATTTTGATAAAATATATATTTGATATTAATACATTTCTCAGATGGTTTTTATAGTCAAATTTTCTCAGAGACGCTTAGTTTCAGATACGCTTTTACCTAAATTTAAAGCCCAAAACATACCCTCTTGTAAACGCCAAAAATCGTGCCGATCGAGATCAACGAATCAATGTTCGAGGATCCGTCCAGCGGATCGAAGCAGCAAATGTATTTTCCTCGACGGCGCGACTCGACCTTAATTTGCGTACTTTATATTTTTTAAACGTATCATTCGCATTAAAGGCTTTGGTAACCACTCAAAACAGAACCAGGCAAGACTACAGACAACAAAAACACTACCCCGTTGTTGATGTTGCTGACCTAAAGGGTTGAAGAGTTCGAGACCGCTAGCTATCCAACCTTCTATGCTGATTTACGTACCGTAATCAATTCATCGTTTTCTTCCGACACAAGGAGGCAGGTCTGAGTTGATGCCTTCAGCATGTTGATCATCAACTCGTTGGAGAGGATGTCCAATTTCTTGACTTCCTCGCCCTGGACGTTGGTCGAGCCGGCGATACCATACCTAAAATATGGTAGTAATTTATTTTCATCTTCCCTGACCCCGCATTTTTTTGAGTTTTCATAACGCTTACAATTTGGCCAATCCAGCTTTTTGCGTAGCCGATGCAATAGCTTTAACCGCCACCAGCATGGCCGTCATCAAGTTGGTGAACTCGCCGGTAGCGTGAGGGTGCTTTTCTTGTTCCTTAAATCGATTTTTAAGTTTTATTTGAAAATTTTACTTGGAGAATCCAGCGCTGCAACGTCATCGCGTCAGTTTCGAAGCCATACTGATTGTGGTCGCCCATTTTCTACAGAACGAAAAATTATTTAGGCCAAGCACAAAACGGAAAACCAAGCAAAACATTTTCAATTTTTGTAAGAAGTATTAATACTGAAAAGTCATCGGGAATTAACTAGGAAAAAAGGATTTTGTTGGTGAGGTATCCAAAATACAGCAAAAAAAATAAGAAAAATTATGATTTAAACATTTTTCGGCAACGTAGAGACCCTGAAATTTCCGGAAATGCCCCTAAAAAAATTGAAAATTCCCACTATCGTCTGATCGTGCGATCAGAGTGGCGCGTTTGGGGGCAAGTGAAAGATCGATTTGCCCTCGAAAAAATGAGCGCCGGCAACAACATAGATGTGAAGGGAGAGAGAGTCTACAAGAACCTGCGAGACCCCGGGCGGCAAAGGCCATGGCCTCGATTCGAGACACACACAAACAACCCAGATAGCCAGCCCCAAACTGCACGGCGAGTCTCGTAAACAAATGATAGTGCAAAGAACGATCGCGAGGAGTTTTGGGCAAATGCTTCCGTGTTATGCGTGCTCGAGGCATAACCTTTCAACCCTCACGTTTAGGAGAAGCGTCGGCCAAGAACTTACTTTACCCTAACAACCTCAAGGTCCCAAATCCCCAAAAATTTGGCTATTTTTTGATATTTTCAATATGTCATTTGTAGACAATTTTTTTCAGATTTTGCTTTTTCCCCCGCCAGTAGCTCACCAAATTTTCCCGATTTTTGCTATTTTTTCGATCATGGAAAATGCCATTCAATAGAGCTTCAAAAACTATGCTGGTTTTTATGGTAGCTCAGAATAATCATTCGAATAATTTTTGGCAGGAGCAAGATCCAACTTTAATTTCCTTATAGAGGAACCTGGGGTTCAACACTACTTTTCGGCATTTCCGGTATTTTCGGTAAATTTATTGTAATTTATTTGATAGAGCATCAAAACATGTGCCAAGGATTTTTATAGCAGCTCATAATATTGTAAAATGAAGAAGTTAAGGATCAGCATGGTTTAGCATCAGCAGAGCTAAGGGAATTTATTTTAACCTGATTTAATGGAGCGTCAAGAAAGATACTCTGCGTTTTAGTTAGAGCCCAGTTTAATGTAAAACAAATTATGGTCAATTAGTTATGGTCAATACAAATAAAGAGATAAGTAAAAAAAAAGTAAAAATCTGCTTTTAAAATGTTCTCATTTTATGCTTACAACATCTTTTATTCCGCTTAATCAGTTGGGTTGTCGTCTCGAGTAAGTGTAAGAGCCGTTTCTTGACATAGTGACGGAGGCGACCCTCGGTGTATCCTTCCTCGAATCTAACAAGGATAGATCATGAAGCGAAAGCTATAACAACCCTTAGATTGACAGGTGAGAGAGCTTATCACCCATTTCCGGTAGTTCTCGATGTAGAGGATATTCAATATACCGAATATTTCGCTTGTACCAACAAAGGCCATCGCGCCCACGTGGCCCATTACTGAAATAGACTAAAAATTAACATACCAATATTCAAAGCCTACTTCTCGGCATCCAACCGGCAAGTTTCAGCTCGGTCAAATTCAACATTAAAACGCCAGGCATTAGCCAGACGGCTAGGATGCTGACCTAAAATTTTTCCCGTGGTGATGCTTAAGCCTAGTAGGCTTAGGCTCAGGCTTGGCCTAGGCTAAGGCTTAGGCTTGGGCTTAGGTTGAGGCTTATGCTTGGGCTTATACCACTTGGCATTCTTACCCTCCACCTACCGCAATTACAGCCGAAAGCACTGCATTCCTATGCAGGTGCCTCGTTTTCTTGCTCAGCTCAGTGTGACGCTCCAAGTAGGTGTAGATAGATCGTGTGTAGACCGCTCCGGTGAGGTAACAATATAATACTAGTAGCGTAAAAATAAACAGATGCGGCAGCAGCCAGGGGTTGAGGTCAAAGTCGTAGAAGGCCACGCGACCATCATCGGATACGAGCTCGAGCTCAGTCGTTGAAAACATTCCAGGCGGAATGTCTTTCGGTGAGACTTGTGAAGCACCGTGGAGGATAGAGACCGGGATACAGACGAGGAGGCTCTGGACGATGATAGCTCTGTGAAAGGTGCGCTCACTGTAAAGTAAGAGTGGACTTAGGCTTAGGCTTATGCTTCGGCTTAGACTTCGCTTAGGACTATAGTCTACCGGAGCAGATACCCGCTCAGCCTCACCTCATTGGCCCTAACAATAACACATAGCGATATTGAAACGAAATAAGCGCGGCATTGGCGCCAATGGCCAACCCATGGCCCAAGGCCACATATTGCCAATGCGTGGACATGCCGAGGCTGTTGAGCCCGTTGTCGGCGTACAGCACCGAGTGCGGAACGGCTGCTGCAGGTCTTGAGAGGAGCATGATCGCGTCGAAAAAGAAGACGCTAATCTGTGAACGTGTTAATACAAAAAAACATCAACTCACATGTAAGTTATACAGGTAAAAGGTGTAGCTCTTCATATTGGATGGACTGTGATAGGTGATGAGGTATAGCATCAAGAGAAAGACAGCCGGGCAAAGGACCGACTGCGCGTACCAATAGATGCTAAATTCATGCCAGAAAATCGCATATTGCACGTAAGCTTACGTTGTGAACATTGGGGTATTGAGAAGAAGTTCGATCTCCAGTGGTGGTTCCATTAATAGAATTGCGTTACAGCAAGTCGGCCAATGGGAGGTAAGGGCTGTGGTTTCCTGTATCGATCGCGCGGTATTGATTTGCGAGCCTTAGGTTTCACCTGTCTACCTTTTTATTGTTTGGCTTCTGGGGCCCGACCTTGCAGGTTTATTTTTTCAAATTGACGAAGCGAGTGTGGTGTTTTGAGTAGGATCTAATCCATTGTATCCAAAAACCAGAACATGCTTTGCACTTTGCCAAATATTGCAATTAAAAAAAGTTAACAGACTATAAAATAGTTTTAGGCCACGTAAAATTACGTAATCACGTAATCTTAATCGTAATCACGTAAAGTAAGTCCGCCAAGATGAGCGATAGGCGTGATATGTCTGCAAAGGTAGTGGTAGCATAATTTATTCGAAAAATTTAAGGCTTCTTCGCAATAAACTGTATACCTAAGAAATGCTATAATCTTAAGCCGGTTCGTTGAGCCTAGAGAAGAACCTGACATTTTCTAATTGAAAAACAACGACCATGCCCTGGTTTTTCACCTGGTCGCACAGCCATTTTTCCTCATTAACGGAAGTCGAGCGGGTCTGATGCAAATGGCCAATGTACTGAGAAACGACGATGACGTGACCTCCTTTATTAAATTGGTATCTTGGCATTACCAAAAATAAATTTCAGCCATTCTTAGACATCGTGACGGAGACGATCTTCCTTGCATTTGTAGAATCTAACATGGTGAGTTCATGAAAGGAAACGTATAAGCACCCGCGGGGCGACATCTAAGAACTCGTATAATCCATTTTCGGTAGTTTTCGATGTAGACGATATTTAAAATCGTAAAAATCTCAGTGCTTCCGACGAAAGCGGTCGGGCCGATATGGCCCATTACTAAGATTTTTGCTTAAAATTAAGGGACCTATATAAAAAGCCTACTTCTCGGCATCCAACTGGCAATTTTGAATTCGGTCATGAGCAGCATTAAAATTCCAGGCATTATCCAGACAGCTAGGAAGCATACCTAAAGTTTGGCGAGTCGACTTGGCTTAGGCTTATGGTTAGGCTTAGCCTTTGTTTAGTCTTATGCTTTGTCTTAGGCTTAGGCTTAGGTTTCGGCGTAGGCTTAGGCTTAGGCTTAGCCTTTGCTTAGTCATAGGCTTAGGCTGGGGCTGAGGCTAAGGCTCAGGTTTACTTAGGTCTAAGCTTACTTAGACTTAGGCTTTGCGCGCGCAATTTACGCAAATACCCACTTACCGCCGCTACGGCTGAAATAACAGCATTCCGATGCATTTGCCTCGTCTTCTTGCTAAGCTCGGTGTGACGCTTTAAGTACTTGTTAATGGAATGGGTATAAAGAGCGCCGGTAAAATAACAATAGATGATTAGCAGAATCAAATTACTCAAATATGACAGTAGCCAAGGGTTCAGATCGAAATCGTATAGCGCGAAGCGCCGATCATCAGATAGAAATTGAAGTTCAGCCTTTGAGAAGATTCCCGGTGGCATATCTTTGGGCTGTACTTGTGATATGGCGATTAGGATAGCGACTGGCCCACAGAATAAACATCCTTGAATGGCGATGGCAATGTGATAGGTGCCCTTGCTATTAGTTATTACCTTTGAGCCTAGCTCGCGTATGAACTTACCTCACCGGCTTCACCAATACAAACCAACGATATTGAAACCACATAAGTGCAGCATGCGCGGCAATGGCTAACCCCTCGCACATTGCCACGTATTGCCAGTGGCCTGAGATACCGAAGTTGGTGAGAACGTTGTCGACGTATAGAATCGAGTGCGGTACGGCGGCGGATGGTCTTGAGACGAGGAGTATTACATCAAAAAGAAAGGCAGAGATCTTAAAATTAATTCATAGGCATTGCTTTCCTTTCTAACATTCAAGCTCGTGTCTGGACTCACGTGTAAGTTATATAGATAAAATGTGTAAATTTTCATAGTTGATGGGCTATCTTAGGTGATAAGATATAGCATTAATAAAAGTGTAGCTGGGGTAAGGACGGATTTCAAGTTCCAATAGGCTCTAAATTACGAATAGTTACCCTTTCAAAACTATGACTCACGTTATGAACGTTGGCTTGTTAACAAGACCTCCAATATCTAACGGTGGCTCCATTATTCCAGTTCTAAGGACAATTGACAGTACAACTTTGCAGTTATTTCCCCGCAAAACCTAGGCCGTATCGACTAAAAACCCTTTC